TGACCTGGTGCTATGTACATATAATAATAGACGCAGTCTTTCCCCAATGTCATCACAGTATCACATCCGAACCACGCTCACCTCAGATCGTCTTCGCTATTGAAATAAAACACGACTCGGATTTCTGGGATTTTCTCAGAACTAGCGTAGATTTAGTGGAATGGAATTAGATGTCTTTGATACGCCTGAAAAAGCATCTTCGCAGTCTGTCACACGTGCGCTCCATGGCACACATCTCTCGAACAGCAGTCAAGTTTAGTTGAGCATGATTTTCCTCTGCGTCAATCATGAACACTAAGTTCGATCCGTGGTCCCGTTTTCCATATGTAGGTCAGCGTAGCACCGTAATTAACGTTTCGATGAACAAATTGCAGTCTTCTTCCAATTAACATGTAACTTGCGGTGCTCCAGCTCCTTTCTACAAACTGGCGTACTGACATTCGGTGTTATATTGACAATCCTTCTGATCCCTCGCCGTACGGTTCAAAACATCTACCAGAGAATACATCGGGAACCCAACCTGTAATCGGAGCCATGAACATTATGGAACGGCCGTGAGTTCATAACTACATATTTATTACCGTTCCCGTGCCGCGAGAAGTGCGAACCTATTCTCAGGTTTCTTGGGCATGATCACGCCGCCAGAAGTCTGAACCTTTCTCCTCCCTACGGCAACGGTCCAATCGCCTTCAGTGTTATGAACTTGTGACCTTATCACTCCCGTTGGTCGCGGCGATCCTGAAACATACAACGGTGCAGAACTCGGTGGGACCCTCGTAGGAGCTACTATGCGAGCTGTAGGAGCGGTGTCTGGATTCTTTCGCGTTCTTGCACTTCCTATATTGCTCGAAGACAGTACCGGAAAATGCTGTGAAAGATGGGGACTAACGGCCCGGCTGAGAAAGTCCCGGTTCTTGAAGTAGTTCCAGAACCTGGAGATCGAAAAAGTGCTTTGACATCGAAATTAGGACGTGGCCCATTCGTTTGAAATGTTGCGGGGGAGGTATGAAGAGGTGTGTGTTTCCCTGTGGCGTCGGGAAGGTTTACCCGCTGTTCTGCGACAGCCGTCCATTCTGTCCAGTTTCTACCACGAGCTAGTTTACCGACGAGAGTTGATTTTCCGGGGCCGGACAGGAAACTGCGGCTTGAGACAATAACCAGACCTCGTCGGCATCGTGTAAGCATGACGTTCATCCGCTGGTCAGAGCGTAGGAATCCGGGTTCCCGACCTCGGACGACCGAAACTAACACGATGTCTGCTTCGTTTCCTGTACACATATATCATAAGCTTGAAGTTCGTATATCCACTGTAATGGCCGACTACCTTGAAAGCTGTCGACATTGAACACCCGCTCCCATGGAAGGTTATTGTCCTTGAGTTCTCTCTCTATGGCGGCTCTTTGCGCGTCGTACGGGGTGATAATGCAAAAGTTCCGGTCTCTGTAATATAGCTTTACCAGATGGACGATTGTGCGGATCTCCGAGGTGTTCTAAGTCAAATATATATGAATTGCCGCCCCGTGAGTTAAGTGGACAAATAACCTACCCGCCAACTCAAACCAGACTTTTCCTCCGTTCCTGTTTTAGTGTCGATAAATGCGACACAGGATGGGTCTTTTATCCTGTGCTCTGAACGAAGTCGATTATTGTAGACTTCTCGTGAAATGAATTCGCCAAGTGGATGCGGCATGCGATCTGCAGAGATGAGATGTCTGCTACTGTATCCGCTACTAATAGTACTCACACTGAATGTTCAAGAAGTACGATTCATCCTTCAGATGGTCAATGTCGAAGATACATTGCATCGACGGGGCCTTGTCTTTCCCGTACGGCGGTACTAAGCAATACAAGTGAGATATGGATTGACGCAAAGATATGCAGGAACTCTAACGTTGTTTTGGATCTCCAAAGAAGCATACCTTGGACATCACGTTCCGAAATTTAAAGAAGACATGCTGTGATAAGTCCGGTCATTTTGGGATCTCAAGGTCAATTGCCACTGACCATATACTCGAAGACATTGATCTGAGAAGCCTCGTCAACCACGAGGATCCTCGGCGGCACAAGGTCGAACATCCCGTTTTTGTCCAATGCTGGATTTGAGAGCATGCTCAGTGTTGATAGGATAATGCTCGATGCGCCGATGGCTTTTCCTAGGTCCTTCGGATTCTCCGGAAGCTCGTCTCCACGAAATAGTCTAGCCTCTATTTTGGTGTAGAGGTGCTCGTGCCTGTCCGATGAGAAATTGGTGAGAATACACAGCCAAGAGCGAGACCCTCACTCACCATTCGACGTAAAATTCCTTGGATACGATGATCTTGAAGTCTACGTCGGACGATGCTAGTTTCTCTGCAATGTTCTTCACAGCGACGTTCGAATGAGCCACGATCCACGTTGGTGATTTTTTCTGACCCCAGAGCATAGCCGCTGCGGAGATGGTCGATGTTTTACCGGTTCCAGGTGGGCCTCGTGAGGTGCCTATGTCAACATTCTATGCAGCCTCGTACAACATGAACGGTTCCTCACCGTGGACTACAATAAGGGACCGGACCGACACCATTGCTGATACTACCTTTTTCTGCGAATCATTCAGCTTCCCAGCCAGTAGGGGTGCTATCGGAGATACAGAAGCGCGATCCTCCTCGTCTTTCTCGTTAGGGAACCAGAGCATCCTCACGAATTTGGAATGCCTAAGATGACAGTCGCCCTGTAAAGCATGAAGTAGCAGTTCATCACGAGCTTTCTCGGAATTCGTTCCTCCTTCCCTTCCTATGACTTTCACGCTTGCCACCGTTCCGGAAAAGCCACCAGAGACCTTGATTTCGGTTTGTTTCCCGCGCGACGTTTTCGGTGATCCTTTGAACTGGCGACCATCTGATGTGGTCAAGATTACCGCCAGCTTTTGGGACAAGATCAGAAAGAAATGTAGTTTGGAACATGAGTTACGTGCCTGTGGACTTGCGCGTATACGTGTATTAAAACGAGAATTGTTTACTTGCAGTCGGCCGATGCTCATATCCATTTTCGCTTCGGAGAAGTCGTTGGAGATCTCCGTGGGTTTGGCACGCTGCAGAATATCGGCTTCGGATAACAGACGACCTAAACATTCGAGAACCTTTGCGATTGTTTTGATCACTACGGTCTAAACGAAGGTAAAGCATAACTCACCTCCGGTTTCATCGATAGAGTCCGGATCGGCTTGATCATATGCACAACGTTCAGGTTCTTTTTGATAATACTACGCCTTATGCGTGAGTGTAAGCGGAATGAAGAAACATGGAAAATCTCACATAGAAGAAATCCACGCCCTTAGGCAAACTTTCCGGATGCTTTCATGTTCTTCCTCATCCAATTTGTCGTTCCACAGACTGTCCACTGCGAAACCATCAACTTTCATGGCTACTGCTTCAGAGAGAAGCTTCGACGGATAATATGGATTGCTGGCAGATTTCGAGCGAAAGGTAGACAGGTCGATAGCTTGAACGTGATACTTCAAGTGACAAAAGAGGCGGATCGAGAGTCGTGGCATATTGAACCCAGCGAGTATGGGCTGCTTCGCAGACAGTAAAGCCCGAAAAGATTCGTCCTTGGGCAAAATTCCGTAATTAGCTGAGAGTGAGATGATGTCGACCTCCTCGGGAGTCGCAATAGCAAGGTACGCCACATCACTACCTGCCCGTGCTTGAACAATGGATATTCCTAGACATACTTCGTTCAGCAGGACTTCCGCTGCGCTCGCTGCTTGTCGGCGGGAGTGATGGCGAATTCGTATTTCTGGGCGCTCCTGGGGAAGAAAAGACTGCCTGAGGGTGTTCATGAGAGTACGAAGGAAGAAACGAGGCACAGCTACTGCGGGCAGAAGAGTCAAGCCGGGCGCTAATCATTCCACAAGGCAACCTCCGCAACCTCTCTCATTGATGAGCATACAAGTGGGGAAAAACATGGACTTACATACCTTAAGCTATAAAATTGACACCGGACAGCTTTAATTTTGACGATTCAGGTTATGAACATCCATCTTGATGTGTACATTCCTTGGCACGAATGTCCAAAACGAAAAATCAAACCAGGGATCTACACGAGGAAATGCTGTTACGCACTATACAGTTCGTGTGGGACTCTGTGCCATCCTCTCGGCCGTTTCCGGCAGGGCATCATACCAACTAAAACCCCGTTCTGGTCAAGCCAGTCCTCAGGTAAGGCCTTCTCGTTTAATAAGGTTCCTCTCCAGGTGGATAACACAACCGCCTTCTTCAGCGCCCTGGAGTCATATCTGCGCTTATTCACTAACACACGATCAATTGTTAATCGTTTATTCATCGCGTTGATCCAAAGGTTCCATATTTCGTCCTTAGTATGCCAACTCTCCAACATTTCAGATTCTTAAAAGAGGGACCCCCAAGCCTGGCTCATCTGCAACAAACAACAGTAGTTGTAAGTCCTCGACGTGTGTCACCACAGTTGCCCTGAGATGTTCTAACTTTCCGTGTAGCATGCGCTTTTGGCTTTGGTAAGTTGGTCAAACTAATAAGTGCTCTGACAGAACTTTGAAGGCTATCTCACCGATCGGTCCCAACTGCGCGGAAAATAATTTACAGCGAGGCTAGCGAAGAACTCTCTAAATCTAAAGGTCTTCTCTCCTGTAGGATGCATTCAATGTTCAATTACCTTAGAAGAATGTCAGTCTCCGGCCTCCTAAAAGCAAGACAAACCTCTGCTAGTACGAGAAGGCATCGTAAGCAAGAGAGATCTAAGCTGATTTTAGAAGCCTAGCCTAGTGCCGGGCCGGATTATAAAAGTAAACGCCGAAATACTCCGAAACTAACCACGGAATTTCGGCTATACGAAAGGATCTAAGTACCAACACCTTACTTGTGTGGAAGTAATGAAAAATCGATAGTCAAGACCCGGGGTCCCGCTAGAATCACATCCAAAGCAATCGCGGTTACCGGTATCGCCCGTCGCCCAACTTCAATGAACAAGCAACGAGCCAAAAGAGTTGGACACATTGGGAATTGAACCCAACACCTCCCGCACGACCAAGACAAATGCTAAGCGGGCGTGATAAACCAACTACACCATGTGCCCACAATATGAATCCTTTCTATAAATCAAGTCGATAAACATACTTGCGCGCGAGTTTCAAGACTTTGAGGTACTTAATCCGATCTTCCTTTCCAAAGGATGTCCTGCCAAGTCTAGAGATTCAAGACGTCCTCAAAATTGAAGTACAATTTGCGGCTCTACGTGGTGAGAAGCTACCAGTTTGATTTCTCCCTCAGGCTTCAGCGCTTCGCCGGCATTTGGCCGGCATTCTAGTAGTCTTCCAGCCACCGACACGACACTCATCATGCACCATGACTCGAGTTTCTGTTTCTGTCCATTTCCTGTCCAGACGACACTCATGACTCATGCTATAGTTTCGGTCCACTTCCTTCCCCAAAACGACACTCATGCCTCTTGTGTCGGTTTCGTTCCATCGTTTACTGGCATGTTCTGTCGTTTCCGTCATCGTTTGTGTTTCCATGCTATGGTTTAGTGCTCGTCTGCCCTTTTGGTGGTCCGTGCATATTTTTCTGTATGTCTCGCAGTGTCTCAGATTAGGTGATGGTACGACTTCGTCAATTGCTCGCCGGTTTCCGTCGTATGCATCGAACGACAAGCATTACTAATATCTTCAAAGTGCCCCGCAAAGTGTCTCTACTCCGCGAGACGTACGCAACCGTGCGATCAAAACGGTATGAACCTTTGCGGCCACGGCGCATGGCTGTGGACCTGGCCGTTCCTGATTGGGACCTGGCGCCGGTACACACACACACACCATCATCTATGTTGTTCGACCATGGTAAGTTATCTTGTTTTGCGATGTTTTATCAATTACATTAATTGATGCTCAAATGCAGATTCCATTTGAGTGCCCTATACCCTCCTATACCCATTCTGCAATCACGCAACTAGATCGAGATTTGTAAGAGAGCTTGGTCTATATTTCCTTGAGTACCTCGCGCTTACCCCACACATTTAGCGAAACCGGACCGAAATACTGGTACAAGGACAATCCGGCAGCAACACTAGGCATCCCAAAAGTATCCTTCCTGAAACACTTCGAAAAGCTTTTGCACGCAAACAAATTGTTTGAATACAATACAAAGGCATTACCGATGACTGTGAGCGAGATATCTTCGGGTGCGTTCAGTTGGGAGCGTCTTTATATGCTAACTCAAGGCTTGTGCCCAGAAAACCTACAGGCGACCAACAGTCCCCACGCCCAACTCATCTGCGACCTTCTTTCAGATCACCCCCTGTTATCTATAACCTGGGAACGTGCACAAAGCGCAGAATTCCGCTGCTACGGACAAATCCTACACAGTCTTTCCACATATCCTTCGTCACAATCCACTGAATTTCCATCTGAGAACTGAGTGGTCTACGTTGTGCAGCACGCAATGGTTGGTGACGATTCTCCTTGTAACTGTCACTGTCAATGGGTGGGTCGCAGGAGGGCCTTGGGGCTCCCGAAGCATACGAAGGAGACTTCAGCGTCGGCGGACAAACTCCCGCATCGGCACGAGATGTGAGCTCCCTGCCTTGACGGCATCCGGTGGATCGTGGGGATGCATCTTCAGTGTAGATCGCATTTTCTAACCTCTCTTCTGATGGAAAGTAAATAATGTCGCGGGCTTTCACACCCTTGCAATGTTTTTCTACCACAGGTCCATCACCCTTCCGGTCTATTCTCTTTACGAACCCCATCAGCCAACTTCCAACACGATTATCAATTCTTTCGCTGGAAAACTCCTTCGACACCAGATTCTCGAGTTCCTGTACGCTATGTCTATCAGCTTCTTGATGATAGTGAATGTATCATACCTCTCGAGCTGAACTGGCTTCGGAACTACGCCGGGGTCCTCGAGTCACTCATTGAGCTGCGCAATCGTGCCGAGCGATTTTAGGGTTGAGGGCCCGATGGGCGCTATACTCGGTCGCACAAAGGATGCAGTCAATCCTTGGAAGTGTGGTATATTCGAGCTTCTCATGGCGGACAGTTAGTCGCCGTTTGGTTCTCGTACGGATTTACTTACGTGTTTGCTTATTTCCGCGGGGATTTCGTAGTATATAAGCTAGTATATTTCGTAGTTAGCCCCCATGTCGCGTTTGCCACAGATGTAAACCATTTCTGCCACTCACTTCGTTTGAGAACTGCCTCGCGATTCTAACAGGAAGGAGTGCGCACCTCAGAGACATGTAACGGTTGTGCATGTGGGAGAAAATAGTATGTATTCTTCTGCCGTAACCACTTCTACTTTCATTAACTTTTCTTCGCAGCACATCGTTGCCCGTACAAAGGCTGTCATGAAAATTTTTGCTCCAAAGGACTACATGCAGTGACACATAATAAGACATACTGAATAGTAATACCCCACGTCCTTACAGATGTTCTACCACCTGGTATTCATGTCTTTTATAATTCTTCTCCGTGCGAACCATTTCTTTGTGAATTTTGAGACGCGAGCGACCATTAGCAATGATCGCCGTCTGGAATCCCTGCATACGTACGAGCCCGTCGGTTGCCGAGATCGAATCCCATGCGTAAGCGACGGCAGCTGAAAATAGTGCTTACGTTCAGCTTGCCGTTTTGTACTATATGGTTATTAGGTTTGGTCAGCTGTGGGGAATAGATGGAGTAATATGATGCTCCCTTGGGCTTTGACAGAGGCAAGATAGTCGCGCCTGTGACGAATTTAAAGGGCACTTGAAGTTGCATGGCGTCCTGTTAAAGTCATAGTCGTTCTTCGGAGGATCTCATACTCTACTTCAAAATACCTCATGCGTCCTTGTATCAACCTTGTATGCTTCCTCCAAGGAGTGGACGGAAAGTTCCTTGTAAGGAGGCCGGAAAGCCCGCGACGAAACCAATTCAAAAGGCTGTAATAAGAAAATAACATCGCGAGTCAATTGGTCCGTGGAGCGTGAGTTGAGCGCTCAAGCGAGGGACCGTACGGCCGGGCCGGTCAAGATGCGCTTTGTTTGCCAAAAGACTTGCTATGTTTGTCTATTGCTTCCGCCAACGCGACACTACTAAGCACTTCAAGTTGAACCTTAACCTCGGCATTCAAGGAGTGAATCACATTTCAGTCGGAGTATCACCTTGGTTGGACGACGTTGTTTTGTAGCTGCACACGTCTACTAGCGAGTCTGACTCTGTTGTTGTGGTGCCATCCTTTCAACCCTGAAGGTGAGTTGGTAACAAAAACAAAAATAGTACAGATTGCACGCGTGCTGAAGCGCTGATTCCAAGGCATATGCTTTTATCAATTGGTAGTCCAGTTCCATTAATTCCGGATGATCACTGACGCTGGAACTTTTCCAATTTATTTAGTACCTGGTCAATTCCGCTCCCACTGCCTCCCAGTGTCCATTGCAACGACAGCCAAAGCCAGACAATTTAAAGCCTCATGAACTCCGAGCCCGACAGACGGAAGAGAGTGCTACCCAAAAGTGAGGAGCTTCGTAAAGGATTCTCCTCCGCTGTGGCCCAATAATGATTCCAGAAACGACATTTGGCACCCCATCTAATATATTTATCAGTTCTGCGCGTTACATAAAGGGAGCCGCATAATTGCTGGCGGTGTTCAGATGTGTAAGAAGGGAAGAAAAGGGCCCAAAATGGTGCAGAAAAAGACTAAAGCCTCGTGCTTCAGTCATGCGGCCCTCGCCATTGGCTGCTATTGGGTACGCACTCTATTATTATCATATACCCCCTTATTGTTTCATCTCTGTTGTATAAATAGACAATGATCTGGATCCTCCGAACTTCAACCTTGCGTCCCTGCGCAGTACGAGCTGCATTATCTACCGTGAAAATGCGAACGAAACGAGGGAATACAGCGTCGATTTTATTGCATGACGTCGAAGCAGGCTTGGGTAAAGGAACGGCCTTTGGGCTAAGTCGAGGACTGTAAGCAAAAGCTGTTGGTCTATTTATAGCTCCGCTGTATTGTTCGCGCCTACTCTCGATGTAACGATAACGAATGTCCACATGTCCGCACCCCTAGAATTCCTCACACGGCGCAGTAAATTTCCATTACTTCTTTCTGACGTTTCTTAGACCGGTTTTCTCATGAGTTTCTCCTCAGTTTAGGCATCTCCAAAGTCACGAACAATGGGCGTAGCCCCTAGTCCATGGTTAATAACGAAGGATAGGGTTTCTTTTCTCAAATGTCGCACCCAGGTTTCCAGTCGAATCGATGACTAAAGGACCGAAAAATCTTCAAGTCATCACCTTTGGACTGAAGGCTTCCTGTGGCCGTCAATGTTACCGATTTATGACAGCCTTCAGGTACTGTTACATTTTTAGATTGGATCATTGTGAGCTTCTGACTAAATTGTGATGACCTCTGACTCGCCAATTGATAGGCAAACATTGTTGTCCGGTCTGTTGAGCATTGAAACGCTCATATTTACTCCGCCCGATTCTTCCCTGCAGAGTTTGCCTCTCGGTACCCTTCCCCGGGTGATTTCGCTAGTCTGGATTCCCTTTACCCTCGCCGTCACCAGACCAAAAAATTACATCTTTTCTCCATATTTCCCCTTCTGAGCGACGCACCGCATGTGTTGATCCTCGAAAAAGCTGTCAATGTGGACAGGGCGACTTTATTCTATTGGACGACCTTATGTCTGCGACCGTTTCGACGCGTAATATGTCGCCTAATCGTTCCATGCAGGCTTAAATCTCATCCGAAGAATTCTCCCACTGGACAGAATTTCACGTCGTCCTAGCCAATGCAGAAATACATAAGACCACCAGCCAAAGTTTGGAGTCCCCATCTCGACTTTCAACCCCAATCGAGTTCTCTTACGCTGATATACCATGTTCAAGGCTTCCCGGTCTTTCATTTTGATCCTAGCGCTCGTCAAGCTCGTCGCCTCCGCCCCAACTTCGGCGAGCGCTACAGTCGCTGGCAATGTGACTGTGGCTGCGAGCTCTACTGGGTCTGCAGCTTCATCTACTGCAACAGTCGATTACGTCTCCATGGACCCTAACGAGGCCCTCTGGAGCGAGGACAGTGACCCATCTCTCGTCAAGC